CATTCCATATCCTTTACTCTTGCCTTCTGTTGTGCATCTGTTTTTCATGTGATCATGTAAGGCTGTGGCCCCAGATATTTCCTCAGCCCTTAGAGCAGGGTTTCCTACAAGTGTACTTGGAAGCTGAATATATAGAGGATGCCACTGAGTGGAGCAGAGAAAAGTTAAATAACTCATTTGTGGTCTTTCCACTGGTTACAGCCCACGCTCATTTGAACTTAGAGCAGCAATACTGATAATTATCCTATTCCATGACGTAATTTACAATACTATGCTGTTAGAATCAGGTTGAATTCCTTAATACATTAACAAAAAATATTCAATAGAGGTAATTTAAAATTGCACATTGTTGTGAAATGTTTTGTGGCATTTCTGATATAAGTCACAGTGATTTGGTACTAGTAGTTAATTTTTTTGAAGTAACAGGTATAAACTTATTTACAGAAAAATTAGCTTGGTAAAACAGAGAATGAATATATGATGGGTGGTGATGGGAAGGTTAATTGTGTTAGAAGGCAGGCTTTCCTAAAATAACAACAGGACTCAGAAAGACTGGCTCAACATAGAAAGATGTTCCTGGATATAACCTGAAGCTTGTTTAATTAATTTAACCCCTCCCTTCTTGGGTGTTCCCTTGGCTGATGCATGACTGACCTTGCTGTTTGGCAGAGCAGTCTGCAGCTCTGTGTTATCTTTATGATCTGTGAACAGAATGCTCTGCACCTTTGTGATATTTTGTTTCAAGTAAACTGTGTGAAACTTTCCCCGACCTCCAGTAACTTACCAAAGTTCTGCTTCTGTAAAATTTCACTTCTGCTCCCTCTTCCCAGAGGCCTCCCCAACTAGAAGAGCCACTTAAAAGAAACCCAGAACTGCTTTTCAGCATCCAGAGAGAGGTTTTGAGCATTACCTGCTCTGGAGTGTCTGCAATAAAGGACTCAAATTTGGCTGAGAGCATTGCTGATTCTCTATAATTCTCTCCATTGAGTAAAACAGTGGCAGACAAGAGGCAGAACCCAAAAAGCATTCCAGGGTATTAAGAAAAAAATAATCCCTATACATTCACCACACAAAATAGTTACATTTTGGGGGGCGTCAGTATATCTACATACTGCGTCTTGATAATTTTGATTCTCTTTACTCTCCCCACCCTCATCTCTCTCTTTTTTCATCACAAGTTCTCTACCTCCCTGTTTCCTCCTCTCTCTCCTTCACTTTGATTTTTAAATTATTTACACTTGAGTTTCTCATACATGACAAATCATGCTATTCAGGGTATTTGTGCAAGTCAACAGATACCTAGCTGTGTGTGGAGATAGAGGAACCAGAGAAAATTACTCCATTGCAATTTCAGTGAACTGGGAACCAGGCTAAGCCCAAGCATATTGGTATTTAAAGAGGTGAGCAAAGGAAGCAATGTACAGTCCTGAGTGAGTGGCTGCCCTGGGAGGGAGGGAGGGAACTTGTCCTATGCCTCCAGTAAGAGAGGCCTCAGCACACTCTCAGGACTGCTGGCTTTGACACCTAACAGAGCCACAGCCTGAGTAGGAGGAAACCTGAGTGCAGCCAAGTGAAGGGGCCCCAGTGACAATCTCATCTTTTCTCCTGTCTCACACAGTGTTATGCCAGGAGTCATCTTAGAAGTCCCTGCTTCCTCTGCCTCTGCATAAAAAGCAGGAAAAGCACAGAGAAGAAAGCCCCTGAGTGCCCTACCCTCTGCTCTGCTTGAGTCTGTCAAAGTAAGCATGGCAGCACATAGACACTGAGCATCCTAGCATCCTGTACCCAGGCCGAGAAACTGAGACACTGTGGCCATGTTTGGGACCTGTGCACAGAAAATGCAGACACCAAGTTTTACCCTCACCTTTGATCTCAAAAGCAGAGGGGATGAGGGCAGCTGTGGTCCAGGCTCCCAAGGGTAAACCTAGCAGAGGACAGAGGTCACCATGGAGGGTGGAGCTCAGCTCTGGACTGTAGGAAATGGGCTCTCCCACCTGGACAGAGGCTGAGAAGGAGCCACAGGGAAAGGCAACGTGATTTCCATGTTGCTCCTTCTATTTGGCCTTGTCCCACAGTGGAATTCTAGAGGAAATACCACTCTCCAGTCCAGATGCCCCCCAAGGAGGCAGAATCACTGCGTGTGATTTTGTAAGAATTACACTATTGTGCGGGCACCTAAAGTGTCTTACCTTGTTTTGGTAGGTTCTCTCACAGCTGGATTTGTTTTGTATGGTTTTTGGTCATTCAATCAGATACACATAGCTGACACTTTACTAATTGGGTTCTAATTACCCATAATTTTTCTCACTTTCCAATTATATTTCCTCCCCTTCTCTTTTTTATTCCTTCTCTTTTTATTCTCTCTTGTAGGAATACAGGACTGTAGGCTGTGGAAGAAGAGCTGCATTAGGCTTTATTAGAGAAATTAGTAGGAAACCTTACTCAATGTGGCTTTGTCCTCTGTGGTTAGATTCACTGGCTAATCCTGAGCTGAAATGTCACAACTTTACTGGAGGAATTACTTAGGAGGGATTGAAAGGATACAGGTAGAGAAGGACAGAGAAAGCAGACCTATAAAGGCACCAGAGAGCTCAGCGAGAATAAGAATTTACAGGTAAGGATGGAATGCTCTCTAAGGAAGAGACTGATCAGAGAAGGTGCTGACAGCCATAGGAGGAAGCAGGAGCAGAGCCTACACTTTCAGTAAAATGCAGAGAGGACACAGAGGGGGCAGCTACCTAAAGCAAGAGAAAACAATTGTTTAGTTTATAAAATACAAACACATATATATTCCCTCTCGGGTCACTGTGTTAGCATACCAGGTACACACACAGCCCTTCATGAACTCTAAAAGCTGCCCTGCAAGCCCACACCTTTTTATACATCACAAAGTGTAGGAAGGAGTCAAAGAAAGCCTCCCAAAAGAAGAATGCAGTTAGGCAAGGGTTTCTGGCTCAGGATCCTGGGACCTGAGATCCAGCCAAAGACAGTGTAGGAGACACACTGTGACCTGTCCAGGTGCTATGGCCTGGGAGGGAGGGTCCCTACTCTAACTGAAGAGGCCCAGGGACAAAGGCCTGCACCTGTCCATCTTTTTCCAGACCCTGCATTCTCTCCAGAGCAGCTCATTTCTGTCTGCTTTTTTCCCCTTCCTTCCCATGAATAAAGCATCTTCCTTTCTTAAACTTCTTCCCTTTAATTCATTATTGGTCCTGAGATTTTGATCAGGCTGGCTGCTCACCCTGGATATGATACTCCTATAATAAAATCATGCTTTTACTTACAATGTATTTCCTGATGAAAACTTTATCATTCCACCCATGATAATATCAGTCCTAAAATAAATATGTTCCTCAAAATTTCATCTGGAATCACTTAGTAAACAGCAGCAACAATAAAACAATAGAAGACAACAACAACAACAACAGCAAAACAGAATTCTGACAGGCTACTATTGAGTATAAACATTAGTCTTTGCAAATTTAAATAATTATGTGACAACGTAAAACTGAATAAATAAAGACTGGCTACTACTCAGAGTATCATGAGGGAATGTGTTTCTGCTCTCCCATGGAACTTCTTAGGGAAAAGTGAAAATCCTTTGCTCATTTACTCTTAGAACATCAGTCTTTGGCTTCATGCCCAGTGTTTGTCTTTGTATTTGGGCCCAGAGGGTGACTACATGCTGCAGGGCCCTGTGAGCTACTTGATGGGGCCCTGGAAGCACCAGCCCAGGAAGTAGGGTGCACAGTGCCCTGGTTAAATGCACTCTTGCTATTTGGGACTCTTTCAGAGAAGACTTCCTGGCCAAGTGTCCATTTGATCAAGACCAGAGCAAATCTGCTAGGGTGATTTAATTTACCCAAGAATTAAAAAAGAGGAATGTATAAAAATATAACAGCAATTATATCAACAAATATATAAGTAATTTATGGAGAAAAAGATCACTAAAATCTAAGATTTTTGCATTTTTATCATTTTTTTTCAGAAAAAAATTTGAAATTTTCAAATTTTTAAACAGACAGTATTGGAAAAAATTTTTTCACCAAACTTGACTCACAGTAAGTATCATTCTTAAAATTAGAGTGGTTTAGAAAACATAAAATAAAACAGGGATTTTATAAGAATATGCATATATATACATTTAAAACTTATCAAACTAACATTAAAATATTAAAAGCAGGAATAGAGAGATGATACACTTGTAATCAGCATTGCAAAATTAAATTTAAAGCTTAGTTTTATTCCTCTCTCTTTGGCTTCCTAAGGCCAAAGTTAAAAACAGCTTGCCTCAGGAATGTGGAGCAGAGCTTATGTTGAACTATATCTTAATGTTTAAGAAGTTATTTTAACCTCTCGATTTTGATAGGTATATTCAGCAATTCTATACTGTATGCAGTGAATAATCTTAGTGGTCCTCACCTAAGTTTCCAAAAGTGTGAAATTGATTGCTTAATAAATGTGGAATAGAACCCTGAAGTAAATGAGAATAAAAGGTAAGCTGAAGTTATTTTTCTTGTAGTTTATTACCTATCGTTGCTAAAGTTTGCAAAAACAAGTTATATACAGGAATACAGAATTTTTAGCATTCTCAGGAGGCAAGATAACTTGGTAGAATTCCACTGATAAGAAGTGACTGCTCTGATTTCACAAAAGTTCTTTTCTGTGATTTCTTGTGATTTAAAAATTTGTGGATAAGAGTGAATATGGCATAAAACTTATATGTGGATTAAATTTGTTAATAAAACATGAGGGTGTATCATATCTATGCTGACTTTATAGGATATAACTTTTTATTATGTCAGAAGCAAATGGCAAGTCATACTATGCCTTATCTATCTGACATTGGAATTTTTTGTTCATATTCAGCAAAGGTTTTGTAAATTCCCAGGAAGAGTAAACTAAAATAAATGCTGAGCCATTCATACAAATAAAACCTGTTTTCAGACACTCAAGGTAAATAACTAATTTGATTTCTCACTAGTTTAAAATATTGCACCATGGGTAGAAGGAACTCCACCAGTGTGCCTGGCTTCATCCTCATGGGGCTGACAGACTCTACAGAGACACAGCTGGTCCTCTCCATGCTCTTTCTCCTGATTTACCTGATCACAGTGCTGGGGAATACGGGGATGATACTGATCATTCGCCTGGATCCTCAGCTTCACACCCCCATGTACTTTTTTCTCACTCACCTGTCATTTCTTGACCTCAGCTACTCAAGTGTCTTCACCCCTAAAACCTTACAGAACTTACTGACTTTCACCAAGAGTATCTCCTTCCTGGGCTGCCTCACACAGATGTTCTTTTTTGTCCTCCTTGGTGGCACTGAATGTTTCCTTCTCTCCTCAATGGCCTGTGATCGTTATGTAGCTATCTGCAGCCCCCTGCACTATCCAGTCATTATGTCCACAGGACTGTGCAGTGCCCTGCTCACTGGCTCCTATGTGATTTGTTTTATAGAATCCACTGTGAATGTAGTTTGTATAAGCAGACTGCATTTCTGCAAGTCCAACATAATTCAGCACTTTTTCTGTGACACATTCCCAATTTTAGCCTTGTCCTGCAGTGACACTTATGAGGTTGAATTTATTGTGTACATTTGTGCTGGCTCCACCCTAGTGCTGTCCCTCCTCACCATATCTGGATCCTATCTGTCCATCCTCTCCACCATACTGAAAATTAATTCCACTGCTGGTAAGAAAAAAGCCTTCTCCACCTGTGCTTCCCATCTTCTGGGAGTTGCCATCTTCTACAGCACTATGATCTTTACTTATCTAAAACCCAAGACATCCTACTCCTTGGGAAAGGACCAGGTGGCTTCTGTTTTTTACACAATTGTGATCCCCATGCTGAACCCTCTCATTTACAGCCTCAGAAACAAAGAAGTGAAGAGTGCTATTGTTAGAATAATGCAGAAGAGAAAGGGCTGCAGGCCGTTAATATCACAGGTTTGCTAAGCATTTACACTTGTTTTTTCATTTTTAATGGAAAATAATTTTTTCTATTTCTGAACAAAAATTTAAAATTTTTTTTTCTTCCCCAGCTGCCTTTTCCTTAACAAACTTCATAGTGACTATTTCTGTGCCTTTATTTTTAGACATTTATATTTTATATGGCAATCATGAAATATATGTTAATCTGTGAGTAAATACATTTTGCACCAAAGTCAACTTGCAAAATAAGAGATATGTTTGTCATATTGAAAAAACATCATACCATATCCATGCATGCTCTAATTTTAGGGAATTTTATATTAGTCCTTCTGCTTATAATGGAGATTAATAGCAATGTTTTGAGAAATGCTTCAAAATCAATATTCAGGGATTTAGATTCTAGATCTACCAATTTTTTTGTGTATAGCCCACACTAATTCACTGAAATTTTAATAGTCAGCGTCATCAACTGCACAAGGTATATAATAATCCCATCTTTGTCTGGTCAGAAGGAGGTTGTAAACTTTGAGGGTGACAACAATGAATACTGGCTATTATCATCAGATGCCTTGGATTACTGTGATATTCAATACATAATACATTCTTGAATAATATTTCTTCATGTTTTCTGAATTTTTTAAAATTAAATATATAAACATAACACCTAAAAAGGAAAAAACAGAAACCAGGAGTTACAAATTATGGATTCAGAATAAAGTCAAATATTGAAGCAAAAGGAAGTTATAGGAAAGTACTATGTCCTAATGTTGAAGACAATTTTAAACCTGACAATTACTATAGAAAAAAAAAACTTTGTGGTAATTATTGACAGTTCTGTCCATGTTCTTCTAATTCAGTGGTCATGAATATGTGTCTATATATTTAATATTATTTTTCTGTAATTTCTTAATATTTGTGGCTGCCTTTGTTTACATTCAAGTTTTATATCTAATTATCTGTGTAATTGTGTCTTGCAAGAATAACATGTTTTGAGTGTATGAGCAATATTCTGAGTCTTATTGCAAGTGCTTTGATACATTTCTAAGATGTGCTTTTTTCTTGCATTCATTTTTTGTATTTGTATGAGCTAGATAATATTTACTAATGATTTTTGTTGGCAAAACTATCAATAGAATCTCTGACTTGGAAAACAATAAATTGAAGAAATTCCTAAATTTTAATTAAATTGATGCTATTTTATTTTCTTCATTGCATAGGATATAAAGCACTTATATCATGTTATTAAATAAGCATAATATAACCTCTTTTCCATAAAAACCATTTAAACTATTTGGATGTGCCCAATCAATTACTTCTCATATCACTAGATAGCTCATGTAATAGAAGTTATTTCTCTGAAATGAAGTGAGATCCCATGCCCTCTTTCATGGGACCAGGTCAGTGTGCTATGTAATGTAAATACATTTTTTTTTAAAGGACACAATGAAGTACATCAAAATAGGAAGACCTGCTTTTCCTTCCTAATAATTAAAGGCTAGACAGCAGCACTGCAATTATACTTTACTAAAACAGTGGTCACTGAAGCATGTGCACTGTTCAATGTTTTGCATAGTTTTTAATAGAAGATATGCAGTTGACACTGGGGGCCAAAGCTTCCAAGTCACAAGAATAAACAGATACAGAAAATGAATTTGGTAAATGAAAGAATAACTAATCAGATGGTGGATGACGATAGGCTGAATAATTGTATCAGCAATTTTCCTAGTGTGTTGAAATATTCAAGAATAGACTTGCTCAACACAAAACAATATTCATGGGTATCACCTGAATTTATTGGTGTTTCATATTCACCCTGTTGCTCAGATTACTTTTGGTTAGGCTGTTTTTGGCAGGTAACTTAGTGCTCAGGTTCTCCTATTTTTTGACTTTGTATCTTCTTCCACATAGCCAGAGGGAGTTCAACCAATATTCAGTGTGAAGGACAGGGGAGAATTTGTTTTACAAAGGAAAAACCATTATGCAGATTTTATTTTTATTAATGCTCTTTATGAAATACATTATTAGGTGGATAATTACTCATATTACTTATTTTTTCTGCCTTTTAATCATCAAATTCATCAGCAGAATATTCTTATATTTTACTTTCCATTTTAATTTTGTGAGGAATTGGTGATATGTTTATTTTAATATTGATATTCTATTTGTTGTTCTCCATGAAGTAACAATCTTTGCTTTGAACCCCATATTATGCTAATGTCTACCAAATATATATGTATCTTTTCTTGTTTGGTGCTTGGGATTGAACCCATGTACCATTAAGCTATATATTCAGCCCTTATTAAACAAGGAGCAATAAAAGACAGCTTGAATAATATTGATCAGTTTTCTCCAATTCTTTATTCTTTTATAAATGGTATTTTTATGTGTGGCTTAAATTCATAAGGCAATAGTATTATTTTCCTTCAGTCTTTTAGTTTTAAAGTAATTTAAATTAAAATTTACAATGTTTGTCACATTTCATTTTGTAGTTTTGTATTTGTCCTTTCTATTTCTGCATAGACTCAAGTGTCCCTAATAGTTATCTGCCCCAGGATCCTTTGAACTGCTTAACCAATGGCTTCCTAAATTTCTTATTGTTAAAAAATTGTTGACTAGTATATGCTCATAATTTCCTGTTCCATTACTTCTTATGTTACTTTATACTATTACTCATTCCAATTCCTTAACATTCATTCTGTTTACATAAGTTTTGTTGATTAATTTCCAACTACATGATTATCTCTTAATCTGCAGTGACTCCACTGATGACCCTGTTGTAGGATTCCATGTATCTGATTTTGTGTCTGTGTGCATGCATACATGTGTGTATGTGTGTGTATTTCAAGTATAATACCAAATACTTTCCATAACTTCCATCTAACAAGTATAAAATATGATAAATTAATGCACGTTGTTTAGCCTCTGCAAAAGAATGCTAAATCACATGAATTTCAATGCCTTTAGACAAATACTACCAGGGATGCATGCATTTGAACAAGTTGATTATATTAGTTATCCTTATATATGTTTAATAGTGATGAACAGAGAACACTTGGAGAGGTAATATAAGCTCTCTCAATTACAGGTTCACTGGTTGTCACATCTGCTTATGGTTGGCTTTAACTATGGTTTAATATGCAGCTGAGATTCCTCCATGCTTGCAGTGGTTACATCTTGCTTCCACACTTTGCACTAAGTGGGCAATTTCATGGGTTCCATGTATACTGGGAAGCTAATTGTCTTTGGAATTTAGATTATGTAAATGAATGTGAATTCAAACTTGAGAAAGGCCCACTGAAAATTATGATTTTGTAGATTAACTGGATTTTAAAACAAGGGTAGAGAAAGTTTTAGTGTAGGTTTTAACTACTTATGTACGAAAGGAACCTCTCTTATCCATTGCTATTACTTAGAGAATCATTTCTATATATAACACCACATTTACCACTATCAACTTCTGAATCTTGAAAATGTAATGGTTCCTCAACTCAGCCCTGTTCTAACTGATGCTATCCACTCTGTTCTTCTGCTGCTACATTGTTTCTTTGTTCATTCCTTCTTTTATTCATTCTTTCATGTTTCCTCCATCCTTCCTTCCTATCTGTTGTCCCTTTTACTTTCTATTTTCCTTCCTTCCTCCCTCTTTTCCTCCCTCTCTCCCTTTTTAATTCCTTCCTTCTTTCCTTCCTTTTTCTTATATTTTTATGACTGTATCCTATTAACTTAAGCCAAAAGATGTACGGTCCTAATCACTGCAATGACTTATCAATTCCAGTGGAAATCACTTCTAAAAGTATTTTGCTGATATTTCTGTCACTGATATTTCTGTCACTGAGATAATGAAGATCTTCAATAGTAAAGTGAAAATATCAGGCAATTCCTTCATTTCTTTATGCAAAGTAAACAAAACCCTGAGCTCTGTTGATAGGCAACTTAACATAATTTGGACATTATTCTATAGAGATATGTGGCCTTGAGCCAAGTATTTAAAAATTTTATATATTTTTTGTCATCTGGGATACAATGAAATAGTACAATAATTTCATGGAGATATAACCAGAGAAAGCACGAGTGTTAATAAAATTGTCCAGTAGCTAATGAGCTGCATAGATATGCACAATATTATTGTTACAAGGGGAGAAATTTTCCTCATTGTCTTAGGATTTCTGGTTAGTTGTGAAAATAATAAGAAGAAAATTTAACTATGGTAGTATGCAAATATATTCCATAATATTTTACAAGAAAATATGCTGGAAAATGGCAAGGCTTAGGCCAGCACTCCTCACAAATCATTTAAATATGTTTAATAGACTGTATTTTTTCATTTCAGAATATTTTTTAATTTTTTCATTTGAGTATTTTAATTTTCATACCTATAAATATTGATCATTTTAATCACCCTAGCTCCCCTACAGTGTCCTTTCTTACCTTTCCCTGATCCTCTGTCTCATCACCTAAAATATTTCTTTTTTATTATTCATATTCTCTCTGTCTCTCTGTCTCTCTCTCTGTGTGTATGTGTGTGTATGTATTGTGTATCTGAGACAGGGTTTCAATACATAGTTTCATTTAGGCTGTGAACTCATGATGTAGACCACTGGAGAAGAACCTCCTATCCCACATTCCTGAGTGCTTAGGTCACAAACTGGTGTCACCATGCCTACTCTAGGTTTACTTATTTTTTAACAGGGACAGATTTGATAAAACGTCTTGCTATGTAGTCCAGGCTGACCTCAAACCTCAGTTATCTTCCCTAAATTTGCCATGTCCTGTGATTACACAAATGCACTACTATGTATTGGTTTTTTCTTTATTTTCTTTGCTCTTCACATTATTTACATGTTGTGTTTCTCATACAAGAGAAGTCATGCATTCAAAGATATTTGTTCAAGCCAGCAGATACTCAGCTCTGTGAAGATAATGGGGAGCCCTACAGTCAATAGTTTCAGACATGAGAGAGCTAGAAATCAAGTAAAACTCAGATATAAGACATTTAAAAAGACAAGAAAGTGAAGTACTTCACAGGCACAGAATAAATGGTTGTTCAGTGTGGAGGGGAATTTGCCCTTGCTCATGCTAATAAGAGAGAAACCTCCCCACATTACAAATGCCAACTTTGTTACCAGAGATAGAGCCTGAGGAGAAGGAGACTTGAGTTGAGCCTAGCATGTAGGAAGGTAGTGGTGCTTCCCAGTATTTCTCTGTGCACTGAGACAGGCTTGGGTCTGGCGACATCTTGGGAGCCCTCTCTCCCTCTGTCTAAGTAGAACAAGCAGGAGAAGGATTTTGACAACACTCCTGCTGAGAGGTATTGGGAATAACTTTCTCTATTTTGATATGTGGAGTAGGAGACTAGACACCTTCACATTTTCTAGTCTTCAGGATGCAACAGTGACTTCTCTCCAGACAGAGAGTGAGACCTTCTTAAGAGTTAGATTGGATCCCAAAGAAGGGCAGGTGGAACCAAAAGAGTGAAATCAAGGATTGAGGACAATGGCCTCCTGCCTGGCTGACTGGAGAGCAGACAGCAGGGTGGGAAATTCTCCATGGAATGAGACAGGGAGCATGAGCCCAGCTGGTGGTGAGCACATCCAGCCCAGTGAAGGGAAATAGCAGAACACAACATGCAATGATATAGAAAACAAGGTGCTCTGAACACTGCTGCAGGCCAGAGCTCAGGCACAGGAGGATTTGGGGGAGGTGGGAGTCTGAGGCTGGGCACAGGGCTTCAGGGAGGTGAGGAAAGGAAGGAGTGTACAGCTCCATATCTCAGTGAACACCCTGATGTTCCAGGTTGTCTGCTCTGCTTGGGGCCTCTCAGAGAAACCAGGATAGCTCATTGACACTGGACACCCAAGCATCCAGGACCCAGGCCTGAGAACTGAGGCACTGGGGCCATGGTTGGGACCTGAGCACAGATTATGCAGACACCATATTTCCCCTCACCCTGGTGCCCAAGATCAGAGGGGATGAGGGCAGCTGTGGTCCCGGCTCCCAAGGGCAAATATGGCAGAGGACAGAGGTCACCACGGAGGGCAGAGCTCAGCTCCAGACTGGAGGAAATGGCTTCTCCCACCTGGACAGAGGCTGAGAAGGAGACACAGGGAAAGACAAGGGAATTTTCATGTTGCTCCTTCTATTAGGCCCTGCCCCACCGTGGAATTCTGCAGGAAATACTGGTCTCTAGTCCAGATGCCTCACAAGGAGGCAGAATCACTGTGTGTGATTTTGTAAGCTATTGTGAGTGCATCTACAGGGTCTTACCTTGTTTTGTTAGGTTCTCTCCTGCCAGGGTTCTTTCACAGGCTTTCTAACATTCTAGCACACAGGTATCTGCTTATTCTTTAACTGGATCCACTCTCCCCTACTTCTCTCCCTTTTCATTTATATTCCCCTCCTCTCTTTTGTTTCTTTCTCCTCCTGCCACACCAGTTCAGTATCCCCTCCCTCCCTCTTTTCTTCTTATATGTAAATGTTCTCATTAAGACCTTGCCCCACAGCCCATCCCACCTACTTCCTCCCTCCTCCTTTCTCATCCTAAATTAGGAAAAAATTTGGAGAGTTTCTCAAACAAATTATAAATTTATGATGGTGAATGATTTGTTCTTAAGCATTGACAATACTGATGATTATCTGTCTTCATAAAGAAGTGTAAAGAATTCAACCTCACAGTAAATTTCTGCAACAGGAACTAACTGTAACATTGAACCCTTAATAAAATATTTCAGCATTACTATTATGTTTAACTTTTTTGTTCTTCGCAAGACAACATCTTACATGACTATATAAAACAACACAGGTATTTTCCCACTTATCTTTACCAACTTTATGGTGGTATTCTCCCTAGTTATGTCTTTGTGCTTATTGTTCTTTTATAAAATAAAAATCAAGTAAACTAAAATGATAAAATATATTACATGAATGTAACCTATAGATGAAGCCAGTCAAACAGACAAACCAGAATGCAGGTTCTGCCCCATGCCTGTGGGGCCTGAGGATGCCTATTTAATCTCCCAGTTCTGTTAGTGAAGACTAGAGTCCTGTCCGGTGCATGAGACATGAGGGGGCTCCTTAGTAATAGGCTAATATACCTTGTCCTGGCAGAATATGTTGTCATAAAATTAGGATAAAATACTCAATGCACTGGAATATAATAATTATGCAAATTTAAAAGTACTCATCTGAATTAGTTTTGCTCCCAAAAGAAAAAAGACTGAAGAATATTACTATTACATAAACAAAATGTAACAAGTCTTCAATTGCTTTATTTTTTATTATAATGTTTTCTATTTTTGCTAATGAATAAGCATGATCTCTATGGCCAAGTCATTCATTTAAGTATAAAACCTTTCCAGGCCAAAAATTTTATTGTTCCATCCTTCATGTCACTTGTAAAGCAAGTATGATTCAGGAAATTTCTTCTCTAACTTCCTAGTCAGAAAATCCTGATTAATGACTCAAATGGAAACAATATTTCTGGAAAGTTTATATAACTGTGTGTCAATTTAAAAAGTAAATAAACAAAGTTCAGCAGAAACTTGTAGCATCACATAAGAAGATGAAGTGTTCATGTTCTAAATGTGGGACTTTTAAGGGAAAAGACAAAATCTTATGTTCAGTAAATTTTTGAATTCTTCTCCTTGGAAATGGACCAAGGAATCTTCCCTGGAAATTGCTCCCCGAGGATGACCAAAGGCTGCAGTGTTCTGAATGTGCAGTATATGAGGCCGACTTGGAGGAGAGGCGCACACTGGTCTGTTTCCACTCATAGGTCTCCCTCAGACTCTTTTCAGAGGAAACTTTGGTGTGACCTTTCCATTGGATCAAGACTGGGACAAAATTTCTAGGGTGATACAGTTTACCTCAGAATAAAAATATGATTGGAGAAAAGCATAAAGATAAATTACTCCACATAAAAGCAAACAGATTACAGTAGTTTTTAGTTCACTATATGGTTTCCTACTTTATTTCAGAGAATATTTTGTGCTTGACAAATTTCTGAACAGAGAACATTGCGAGACAATTTTTCAGGACCTTGGGGGCACAGTAAGTATCATTCAAAGCACTGGAGGGGATTATGCTGGATAAAATAAAGGGGATTTTGACTGGGCAAGTTAAAAAGTACATTGTTACCAGAGCTGAAGGTCCACACTGTCTTCAGCTGCCTCATCAAATGAGAAGAAAAGTCATTTTGGTGGAAAGAAAAGGGGTTTTTACCCCACAGGAGAGACAGGAGCCTCTGCTCTCCACAAATCTCTGTCTCCCTGTGTTAATTTCTGCCAAGGCTTTTATGTCCAGGTGACTCCAAGATCCCTCCCACCCTCATTTTCCAAGTTAAAGCAGACCTTGACCTGCTGGGGTGGTATCTGAATGTTCTTCTCAGGCAGTCATGATATTTCTGAGACTGAGCATTCATTCTCTGTTGCAGTCATTTGAGTGAGGACAGGAAGAGAATTCCTGCTCTGGGCCAGAAGAAGCTGGAGAAGAAGCCTACGTTTAAAAATCAAAAAGTTATGAAGAATAATTTTTTCTCTGCTACTATATCTTCAGGAATTTAATATTAATGTGAGTCACCTAATTCACCAGAAATAAATTACTTTAATTAGTATACTAAGTCTCTTTGAACAAAAGGACAATGAATAAGACAGTAAAAATGGTTTTTAACGTGGTCAATTATATATCCTCATTCAGGATTGCTAAAACAAATCCTGATCAGGAACACAGTACTGTAAGTCTGTTCTCTGAAGTCAAAATATCCAGGTAGAATCAGTGGTAATATGTAACTGCTCTTTTTACATAAATAATCTTTGTTCCACTTTTCAGAAGTAAAATATGAGGATGAGTCCTTATCATATAATATTTTCCTGATAATTGAATGTATTAATAATGGAAAGAGTTTAGATAGTGTCAGTTTCAGGCTAAAAACAGAATGTAACCCTGTAATGTATCAGAAACAAATGTGATTTTAAACCCATATCTATACATGGCAATTGTATATTTTTCCCCCTGGTTGACAATGGTTTTCATCAATTTCTAGGAACACTACAAAAAATACTGAGCCATTCACATAAACCAAAATATTTTTTGAGACAGGATAATTTTTAAAATTTATTATTCAGCAGATAAGGTTAGCGGGGCACCATGGGTAGATGGAACTCCACCAGTGTGCTTGGCTTCATCCTCATGGGGCTGACAGACTCTGCAGAGACACAGCTGGTCCTCTCCATGCTCTTTCTCCTGATTTACCTGATCACGGTGCTGGGGAATGTGGGGATGATACTGATCATTCGCCTGGATCCTCAGCTTCACACCACCATGTATTTTTTTCTCACTCACCTGTCATTTCTCGACCTCAGTTACTCAAGTGTCTTCACCCCTAAAGCCTTACAGAGCTTACTGACTTCTAACAAGAGCATCTCCTTCCTGGGCTGCTTCATCCAGATGTTCTTTCTTATAGTGTTTGGTGCTGCTGAATGTTTCCTTCTCTCTTCAATGGCTTATGATCGCTATGTAGCTATCTGCAGCCCCCTGCACTATCCAGTCATTATGTCCACAAGACTGTGTCATTCTCTAGTTGCTGGCTCCTATATTATTGCCTTTATGGATTCTACTGTGAATGCAGTTTTCATTAGCCAACTGCACTTCTGCAAGTCTAATGTCATCCAGCACTTCTTCTGTGACACATCCCCTATTTTAGCCCTGTCTTGCAGTGACACATTTGAGATTGAAATCATTATATTCATTACTGCTGGCTCTACTATAGTGCTGTCCCTCATCACTTTATCTGGATCCTATGTGTCTATTCTGTCTATTATCCTGAAAATTAATTCCATTGCAGGAAAGAAAAAAGCCTTCTCCACCTGTGCCTCCCATCTCCTGGGAGTCACCATCTTCTACAGCACTACAATTTTTGCTTACCTAAAACCTAAGTCATCCTACTCCTTGGGAAGGGATCAGGTGGCTTCTGTGTTTTACACGATTGTGATCCCCATGCTGAACCCTCTCATTTACAGTCTCAGAAACAAAGAGGTGAAAGGTGCTGCTGTCAGAGTCCTGAAGAAGAGAGAGGGCTCTGGACAATTAAAATCACAGTGATGCTTGGTGTTTACACTTTCCACTTTCCTTTTTTTTCTTCTAAGAAATTCTTTGGTCTCATTGTAAAAAAATTTTAAATCCTGTTGGTTTTTTTTTTTTCTTTTCCAGCTACGCTTTATCAACAAACATGAATTTGGACATTTTGAGACCCTGGTACTTACAAATTCACAGTATAATTTGGAGTCATCAAATAAGTGTTACATCTAAAATGTAAAAACTCTGTGTTGTTTAGGAAAACTTTTTTGGAAAAAAGTTTTTTTTCCAATTTTATAAACCATATCAATATAATATTTCTCCAAATCTAAATTTTGAAACATTTTATAATGAAAAATCACTTAATTTTTTACATGTCATTCTGTTTAAAGTGCTTTTCAGCAGCAATGTTTAGCTCAAGTGCTTTCAACTCAAGATTAGTGCATTTAGATTCAGGATCTGGTGCTTCTGTAGCATTTGACAAACAGTAATTTACTGAAATAATAAGGTTCTCTGTGCCCACTTGCCTGATATATAATAATTCCATATCTCTCTCATCAGAGGATGGATGTAAAACTTGTAGGACAATAAAGTAAGGGCTGGCCATGATCACCAGAAGGCTTGCTTTCCTGTAATATTTTGACATTATAAACACTAAATATTTCAGAACAATATTGCTTGCTTTATGTCTTACAAGTCTCTTTTATTCCATTTAATTTACAAACTAACAAAGAGCTAAAAAATAGGGCAGCAGTTCCCACTTTAAAATTAAGTAATATATTGAAGTACACTTAAGTTACAGTAAAGTCATACATCTTAATGTTAAAGACAGTGTGAAAAATGTTTATATATAACAGAGAAATATTGTATCAATTGTTGCCTGTTTTGTGCATGATTTTCTAAATTGGTGGTTATTAATATATGTCTATATACATTTAATGGAATTCCTGTCATTTCTTGTATAATCCTTGCCACTGTCTTTATTAAATTTAAAGTTAACTATCTAATAAACTGTATAATTAAATCATGTAAGATTATCATGTACTCAGTATATGAGAAAAATTGCCTCTCATTTTATAATGCTTTGAACGTGAAATGTTGTGAATTTACCAATTTAAAAATCAGTGAGCAATAACAGCTGTTACACGTGCTCCTGTGAGCCATGAGGACACCAAACCTTTCAGTGACATGAGAATGAGCTTCAGCCACTGGCGTTTCTGCCTTTCTCCTGATGTCATCAGCTTTATATTGTTCTTTTAAAATAAATTAATGATTATCATGTTCGCTTCATATGTTACACTTTTAGCCTAAATCTGTGGCAGAGGAAAGAATTGACAGTGAATTTAAAATATGTGGCAGTCCATAAGCTTAGATCAAGAAGCGTGATAAAAATCTCCTTATTTTAAAAAATATTTTATCTCTACATTTGTAATGTCAGTTTAAAATTTCTCTTTGCTTTCTTAAAGTTGTTTGATAATGGACAGCTCCATTTCCCAAGTAGGATATTTTATTTAAACTTGTACAAAATTATTACATGGACTGCTTCACTCCAGACATGTGATTGTAAAAGTATCACCTTTTTGAAATTGAAGTTATTTTATGTAAAAAAAGATTTCATCATTTTAGGTGTCTAAAGTGCACAATTTCTATATTAAAAATTAAGATTTATCAATGCTTTAGTAATTTAAATATATACATTATTTTCAAATCAATTACAAATTTATGCCTATTATTACATCAATATTACTTAAAATCATATTTTATTTACCTTACATATCTGTTTTCTAAAAATTGATATTTGTAGATACTCCTGGTTGTCTGTCTTTGTGATTGAGTTTATGAATTTAATAAATATTTACTGTTTGATATATTGTTAGAGGTTTTCATTCATCACATAAATGTCTTAGTGATTTCATATATTTATGGAATATTTCAACTCTGTGCTCTCTACTCTCCAGGTATTTTTATAAGGCAGTTTTATCTTAAAGTCATTTATTTGTATTTTCATGATTTAGAAAATACATTGTATCAGTTTTTCTTGATAAACCAATCACTAGAATGTATGACTTTGTAGACAACCTTTATGTTAAAAATTTCTTTAATTTCAATTAAATTAAATCTGATTTATTTTCTTTATTACATGGGGTGGAAAACATTTATATTACATTATTTCATAAACCTAACATAATCTTTTGATCTATAGGAGCCATTCTGACTAATCTTAGTGGCTCATAGGCATTGGATAACCATGCAACCCAGAGAAAGGGCTGGGTATATGAGGAACTTGGGCCACTGGTCAGGACCTGCACAGATTATGCAGCTACTCTCTTTTACTGTCACCCTCATTCTCAATACAGAGGATATTGAACTGTCAAGAGTGCCCCCGCAAGGAGTGTGTGTGAGTGTGTGTGTGTGTGCATTTAAAATTTTATTATAAAACTACTGCTTTTGTAGCTATAGGATGTTACTATTCTGATCATTTTCTCTCATACCAGGGTTGTTTTATGTGGTTTCCTAACTATTGTGTCTGAGGATATGCATCACATCTTTGCTGTCTGTGCCATTCATTGGGATCTTATACTAAGCCCCAAGGAGTTAAGGTAGTAAAGTTTAAAAGATAAAGCAAATGATTTCAATGTTAGGGTGAGGGTTGTTAAGGTTATGCTTAGGGTTAAGGTTGTTAGGGTTATGGTTAGATTTAGGATTAAGATTGTTAGGGCTAAAATGTGGATGAATAGCATTGCCTTTCTACAAATCCATGAACAATATAATAGTTAACAGAAGTAGCTCTTATTCAACGTGACAAATTTTGTCTTGAAATTTCTAGAACACATTTTTTCTCAGAGGGCAACTATTCTGTATAAGTCACAGTGTATTTCATGGGATTTAATGCAAGATTCACAATATCTATGTTCCTTGATTCTCACTGTTTATTTTTTCCAATCCTACATTTGCTTCCTCTTCTTATACAGATAATAATCAAAGAAACATTTCAGTTTTCTTATTATATTTTAATTTATTTTTATCTTTTGAAAACATTTGAATTTTTTGTTTACTGAATTCTTTACAAAATATATGTTAGATTCTGTGCTGTTTTGTCTTTCTGATCATTTTACTTTTGTAAAATAGAAAACAAAATCAAGTGCCACAAAACAGGAAAACATATTCCACATCTTTAGGTTGTGGTTAAAGCTGGTGACATTGGCCAGTTGGAACGGATGTTCTGTTCCATTCCTAAGGGCCTCCACATGTGCATTTATGACCTGTGAATAGACGGTTCACTCAGTGAAGGATAAGGCACCATAGACTATGTAACACAGGGAGGTGTTGGTTAGTAAAAGATTGACCTAACATATGTCATGTTAGATTATGGTGTTTTGTTACTGATAGATTTCCCTCCATTTTAGGGTGGTTGTTGTATATAATAGCTACCTTCTTTCCAACATGCTCCTACTCCCACCAAAAGAGTAACCTAATACTTGCTCTCCTCTTAGCAACTAGTGACGTCACAGGCTCCTCCAGTCCCTAGCCACTACCTCACTCAACTCCACCTCAGCTCCTACAAACCCCACCCCTGCTCCTATAAAAGATACTTCCTGTCCTGGCCATATTGCTTTTGTCTCTCTTTTGTTCAGAGACAGCCTGGCAGATTGTTCCTACAATAAAGGCTTGTGGCCTGGTCTGCTTTTAGTTTTCCACCTTTTACCTGACAGTTATAATATTAGAATGAGACTGAAGACAGTAGTTCTATAGAGCTATAAGGACACATCCAAATAAGCTTTATGGGCACAAAGGAAAATAATGGAAAAATTACTAGTATGTAAACAAAAGGTTAACAAATCTTACGTTCCTTCATTTTCCTCAATGAATTTTCTGTTTTCTATTTTTTTCTGAATATGCCTTACTTCTAACATCATGTCATACTTCTAAGTAAAAATGTTCTCTGGTAAGAATTGTATTGTTCCATCCTTTAGATGTCATTAAGTAAATATGTCTCTGCAAATGTGTTCTCCATCTCTCAATTCCAAAAAATTCCTGATTGATCACTTGAATGTAAACATTATTCTTTGCAAATTAATGTAGTTGCATGTCATTTTAAGAAGTCAATAAAATGGTGTTCAGCCACTGTTTAGAGTATCTCCAGAGGACATGAAGTGATTTTTGCTTTCAGGGTGTGGCTTCTGATGCAATAGGCAAAGTCTTTGTTTACTTAGTTTTGAACTTTTGTCCTTGGAACCAGGCCAAGTAATCTTTCCTTGGAAACTGTGCCCTGAGGATGACCAAATGGTCCAGTGTTCTGAATGCCCATTAAATTAGGTGCCCTGAAGTCAGCATGAGGGAGGGAATGTGTACACTCTTTGCTGTATATTCCCTGCTCCTTCCTCTGTTCTTTTCAGACAAGACTTCCTGGTGAAGTTTCCATGTGACCAGGCCCTGAAAAAAGTTTCTACTGTGATACAATTTATTTCATTAAAAATGAATGCACAAAAACATGACAATTATTATATAAAGAAATACAAATATATCTGAGAAATTTTCAGTTTCTTTATGGTTTTCATGTTTTATTTCTCAGAATAAGTTGAACTTGAACAATTTCTACTCAGATAATCTTGGAATACGTTTTGATTTTCAGCAACTTTTTGTCAAAGTAAGTATCATTCTTCACACTAGAGTGGATGAGATATTACAAAATAAAATGGGTATTTCATGAGAAAAAATTTTATTCAAATATTATTTAGGCCTTACTATGTGTAATGGTAAGATCTGCGAAGCAAGAATATAGTTTGTGGATTCATAATCTGCAAGCAACATGAATATTTTGAAAGTGTAATATTTTTAAGAAATGCCATTTTTAACAGTCAAGTTACAAAAGGGTGATAGGAGACACACATCCATACTGCCCTCATTCCCACCACCAACCCTCACAAAAGTGGGAGAAAGTTTATTTTGGTTGAAAGAAAAGTGTTTCTGAATAGTTAGCTTCAAATTAGGTAATGGGGCCTGTTATGCCTCAAATCTGTACCTTC